TAGGTTATAATTAATTATACGTACGAGTAAGTTGCTAATTGTGATTCTGAAATATTTTGCCCTTTATATATACAGTTTCCCCGTTTCTAAGCTTTACAAATGTGAAATAAAAATTTTGATTTAACAATTACAAAATTTGCATAACGTAATTTTTGTTTATAAATCTGCGAAAAACATAGTAATCGGACGCTAATTTAAATAAACTCGCCAAATAGATGCAACTTAACGTGCTCATATATATGCATGACAAAATGTTAACTTGCTGCAAACATATCGCTTACGGTAAACATTATTTGTGGCTTGTATCCTTTATCAAATTTCTTCTAAGTAAATTAACAAAACAAACTGAACTGCATTCTGGAAATTATTCCAGACCTTCAAGTTCTGATATATAAAACGTTGATGCGTTTGTCATTCCACGAAATCCTTTAATGAAACGTCAAATGCTTAAACGTAATAATACTCCATATATGTAGCATTCAATTCGGAGTGGTATGCATGTAAATATGTAACATGAGTGAGTATATAGTAAGTGAATATTCTCCATGTTTAGAGAGTATAAATAAAACCTATTTGATTTCACAAAACTATCTCTTAGCTCTAAAAACTTAGCACTAAATATTGAATAACCTATAATAACGCAAACGGGCGCGCGCATCATTGAAGCTGTTAAGCTAGCTGAAACCCGAAAAATAATTATGGATTCTATCATATAAGCAGAAACCGTTTCTTAGCGTATCCCAGGCTCAACAGCGTTTGTAAAATCTTTACCTAAATTTATTTACAAACTTAAATCGAATTTACAGTTTATATTCATGACCTTAAGCGTTTTCAAAAACTGCTGCATTTTCAAAAACAGCATCGTCATTAATAAATTTTCTGATGTTTCATCTAAGCAAATAATAGTTTGATTAAATCTAATAAAAACCATTACGAATCGAATTGCTTTCATAGCATTATTGCCGGTGTTGCTTATTTTGGGCGCATTCCCAAACGTCAAAATACAAAGCATAAGTCTCTAAACCTCAGCAGATGGTAATGCAAAATGGGCGCAATCACGGTTGGATGCTAGTTTTCAACTAGGTTGCGCAAATTAGACATTTTTTACCGCGGCTTAAAAATAGAGGAGACTGATGCTTTGTATTTTGACGTTTTGGAATGCATCCTTTCTAAATTATAAAATGCGTGAACTACTATATAAGTGCAAGCGACTAGTTACATATTTATATGTATACGACATCAATTCATAAGTATTTAAATTTAATACAATCAAATCAATTATCAGCTATTGGTTATTCTATGTACTCTACTTCCTTCTTTTTGTGGGAAGGGGTTAAACTAAAACATGGATTAGAGTTCTCTTTTGATGTTTACTTAAAACAAATCAAAATTTTGAACACGTCTCAATATTTGAAACGGTGTGAAGTCTATTTTAAGTCTACGATATATATATATATATATATATATATATATATATTAATGTTAAATTTAGATTAGGGGAAATTATCGATTAATAAGCGTATTTAGGACTTCTTTTGAAATTTCTCCGTTATATCACTATTCTGCCTTCTTGATTTTTGTACACAACCATAGCTATCCATCTTTTATAAACTGCCACTAGTTGGATACAACTCTTCCGAGTATTTGGGCCGGCATTCAGCACAGAACCACTTGCCTTGTGGAGCTACCATGATCCCCACACATTCAAAGTGGAACCACTCAATGAGACAGTTCTCGCCATCGCAAGCGATCATCTCGGATACTTCATCATAGGGACACCGACAATAGCAATACACCGATTCGCCTTCGCGTGCCTGCCGCGCTCCAGCTGGAGGTCGTATCGGGTAGCGTATGTTGTTGGCTTTGAAATACTGCAATGTTTCAAAGTTCGGATTAGGTAACAAAGCTGGTGGTATCTTATGGTTAAACACCGTTGTCTGAGGTGTTTGTAACACTGGTTGTGGCGCTGAAGCCTGTAGCAACTGGGTATTTACAGTTGCGGATGGAGTTGCCGTCAGCAAATTGCTATTCCATAGACTTGAAGTCGACATAGTTTCTCCGGTATTCGTTTGTACTAATAACGTTTCGGTTTCAATGTCAGAAGATGCTTCACTACTAACGATTTCATCGTCTTCATCATCAGTATCTTTACTGGAAGAATATATTTGAGGTGTTGGAAATAGTTCAGTTCCAGTACCAGAACCAGAACCATCATTGCTAATGCCCAACTGTGATGGTCGTATTTTGAGTGTGGGTATGGGCGGCAGTTTATTAGATGAAGACGTCTTTTTTGAAGTACGCTTACGAGCCGAGGACTTTTCAGTATTTTCGGTCGTGCATTTCTTCTTTGATGACGCAGAAGGGGTTGAATTGAGAAGGCCACCACCTAGACAACTTACAGGAGTGCCAGGTGTTTTTGGTGTCCGCGGTGTTCGGTGCTTTTGATTCATAATGCTTTTTGCAGGCGTAGGCAAATCTTCTTTAAGCCATGTTAGTTGTGGCGGTGGCTGTGGTTTGATTGTTCGCATGCCCATCATCAATGGTTGCCCCAGATTAATGCCCGCAGTCTCATCGTCACTGGTATAGCCGTAGAACTTGTTAGGCCGTCGTGCTCGCTTTGAACGCTTCAAGGAACCATCCGCATCCGAGCAGCTGCTCCCCTCACTCATTCTGCTCGGTTGGTGCGGCGCCAAGGGACGCGGTGTTAGCTGTTCACTGGCTGGCAGTATTAGGGATGAGTAGGGTGTGATGACATTGGGTTGTTGCGCCATTGGCAGCTCCGCAATTGTTGGAGATGGGTGGGCCAACTCATAACAAGGAACACGATCCAATCGGTTTAATGAGACTGAAGGCAAAACACTAATGGGCGATTTATCCTTTTCCCCTTTCGCCTTCACTGACGAGGTGTTAGTAATAAGATTTGACTTGCAACTGGATTTGCGATCACGTTTCTTCTTTTTCAATTTTATTCTCGTTTCACATACAACATCTTCGGGTAGTGAGGGTGTGGACGGGCGGCTATTCTCCACAATATCGAAATTATGCGAAGGCGATAAACGGGTTTGTGCCATTAACTGAGCACGCTTATGGGCTAATAGTTCACTTGCCAGTTTCTGTGGATGTTCATCATAAAATTCTTCATCAGTTTCTGACTCAGCAGTTTCCAAATCAGATTCATAGATTTGAGGTTCCTTGGGTGGTGAAGGGGGACGCTCAATTTCTGTATTAACGGCAATTTCATTTGCTAAGTCATCATCGACGACTTTTAAAGTCTCTGAATTTATATGTTTCTTTAATGGGGAAGAACCGTCACTCTTTTTCCTTAAACGTTCACGTTCCGACTTTTTTCGATGGCGTTTGCGGGAAGCGTTCGTAGCAACTGATGAATCACTATCATTGGAGCTGGAACTACTCGAACTGCTCCCGCTCCCACTCGTGCTGCATGAACAATTTGAGCCACATGAACAGCTTGAATCTGAACTAGAACTGGAATCACTGGAAGTACTTGATGCGGAACGACGAGATGTAGCACGTCTTGGAGATTTCGAAGCTTTATTGCGCTTCGCGAGCGAGAGGGAAGGCAAAGGGAGAGCTGGTTTTGCGACTGGAGCGGGTTGAACTGGTGAACGCGGACGAAACATTCGACAATAGTCGTGATCTGAGTAGACAACATGGAGCGAATAAGGTGTGGGATAGTTTTCTTCGTCATAGTCTGCTTCCTTCTTTAATGTTGTTGCGACTCCAGCTTCAGATGCAGTACCGCTTTGTTGGGCCTGCAAAAAGTTCTTCCAAATATCCAATACCTTCCCGGTACCAGACTTACCATTTTCATCTATATCTTTATTGCCACATTCCTGATGACCACCTACCTCGATTTTTTTTACATCTTCTATATCATTTTCTGTTTCGGATGGTGGAGAGAGCATCACTTTTGGAACTAACGAGTTTTCATCACCTCGTGACTTGCTGTCAACGTCGGATTCTTCGCTGCTATCGGTCTCTGAAAGATTGGGCGCTATCAAGTTTAAATCTTCGAGTGATTCCTTAGAACGTTTGTTCTTTTTTTTCTTTTTGCGTGGTGCCTCCATGCTCCGGTCTGCGGCAAGAGTTTTTCCATCTCCCTTCTGAATATCGGGATTTTTCATATCGGTGTTGTCGTCCGTTTTATTTGATTTAAGGTCGGTTTCCCCTTCCTCACATTTAACGGGAGCATCGGTTTCACTCTTAACCGATGCCTCTTCTTTAATTTCAACAGAATTGCCAGTTTTATTGAGCAGTTTTTCGAGGTCCATTCCTTTTTTGGCAGTCCCGATCTCAGATTCCTCATCGTCTTCTCCTACCTTTTTATATCCGTCGGAGTCTCTTGATTGTTCTAAACCCGCTGGAAGAGACTCCTGCTGAAGATGTGTTGCTGTATGCTTCAGCAACAATTTGCGAGAGATAAACTTTTCATCGCAGTTTTCCTCGGTACAAGGGTAACGCAAATCACCGCTGTGCAAACGTTTATGAACCTTTAAATACATGGCCTTCGAAAAGCACAAATTGCATACTTCGCAATTGAAAGTGTTCGGAGGCACACAAAAGTGATAGACATGACGCCAGCGCTTCTGTAAGCAACGTTTACAAATTATACTTTCGGTGCCATGCTTCCAAAATAGATGTTTGGTTATATCCATTTTGTTACGGTACGCGATGCCACAACGATAGCACAGATGATGTAATTTATGCTTCCATACATGAGATGACAGCCGTCCTTGATCGCGGCAATCTTCCAAGCATACGTCGCAAGCAAAGTGACGCTTACGTAAGTGCACCATCAGGCGGAAAGGCGAAGGGATGTTGTGAAAGTCACAAAGGCAGCAACGGAACTTGACATCAAACACTGGTGTTTTATTCGGAGCGCCCGGGCAAATGTGACACAGTATTTCGCTAAAGCTAAAAAAGTTCGCACGGCACATAAAACATAGTATAGCGGTTTTTAAGTGCATTTTTCTGTTATGCAAATAAAGCTCTTTGTGCGTTGAAGTGACAAAGCGACACTGAAAACATTCGAAGATTCGTTCGTTGAAATGACGAGTGAATGTACCTTCCCCCAATGTGCAGTAGCTTGTTGAATTAAAGAACTCATTTTCCAATAGAGGTAAGAATGTCTTCAATTTAGCACAGATTGTTTCCGGTTTAAGTTCTTCTGCTGTGATACTATCAACGATAGCACTGAACCGATGTTGCGCAAGCATATGCAACACAAGGCTTTTCCCATTGACGGCAATACGGCGTGCATGATTGCAGTACAAACAAATTGGGTAAACCGCTTTTAAGCATATACGAATAAATTCTACAATTTCTATTTTTTCTAGAGGTCGATCCAGCTGCAAATCGACAACTAGCACATCCTCGTTGGCCAGCTCTATGCCATCCTCAGGAGCATCAAGTAAATCTTCCTTAAGGTCACCGGACTGCATATGTTGAATTGCCTCTTGAGTATCTATTTTCGTTGCGCTCTCATCACTCGACAGTTCATTTTTCTGGTTCCATAAAGGGCTTTCATTATCTACGAGTTTTTTATCCTCTTTAGGACCAGCTACAGTGTTTACGCTATTATTTAAAAGGTTTTCGCTGAAATTGCTCTCAATGGATGTGTTCATTTCCTGCTTTGTATTGCCAGTGCTAAGTTCTAAATTCCCCTCTGGCATTTGTCTGTGAACGAAATAATGTTAAAAGGTATCAAAACTCTGTAACAGGATAAAAACTAAAAATATTTTGTACCTTGGTAGTAGCTCTGGCACCGCTCCATTTATTGTCTCATCAATATCCATTGCCTCACTCCCCGCTGAATCTCTCCTCTGCAATGGTTGGTTGACCTGTTGCTCTACTTTCATTAACTCTAAACATGGACTAGTTTTTTTATGCGCTTCGCCAGATATTGACAAACGTGCTTGTTTTGGCGACGTTGGTGGAGTAGGTGTCCAGTTGCGGGCGGTGTGCGATGATGAGGTCAAAGCACCCGCAGTATGATCTTGCTTCGCTTTAGGTGGATGATGCAATGTCTCTTTTGTGCGTTGAATGTCCAATTTAGTACGTTCAATTTCTTTTAGAATGCGAACCAGATTTGAATTCGATTCATCCACCCATTCGCTTTTATCGACGGACAGAGTTTCTTGACTGTTAATATCGTCAAATCTTTTCTGTGATAACGACTGGTCATTAGATGTTACTGTAAGGTATTTACTATCAGCGTGTAAGGGAAGAACACTATCGTTTGGAAATCCCGACGGCTTATCTGTAACGGCAATATCGTTTTTATAACTGGAACTCTCTCCCTGGATGCTATATTCGTTATCCTCCTCTTCATTTCCCACGTCGTCTTCGTCTTCTTCACTGTCGGTAGAACTAAGTGCCACATCAACAGACTTCTGAAACTCTTTTGGTACTCTTAATTTAAACTTCGGCACTGTTAAGTTCGATTCGATGGGTGATGGAGTCCTCGCAGGGGGAAACGTATTAGTTTCATTTTGATTTTGTGTTTGTTGTTCCAAGCGCCAACGCTCATCGAGTTCCTTGAAGGGATTCACCAGCGAACTATGTGTTGTTGTGCAGGATTCATCAATTACCATATTGCTACTGCTGTTACTATCTTCGCTGCGCAGTGTTGATTCAGAAACTGTTGGAGCCAGTAAAGTGGACACACTATTCTGGTTGCTATCACAGTTGAAGGGAGTTGCATTTGAAGCAGCGTCAATAAGCGAAACTGACAAAAGTGAGTTGTGGTTTCTGGAATTGAAGAGAAAATTGGTAGCAAAATTGCGTTTTATTCACTGTGACGTCATTAATTCAAAATGATTTAAAAAATTCAATGAAATGTGTTTAGAGAAGTATGGGTATCAAATTAAAGACGAAATTCTTTGGAATTTAAACAGATTAAATTTTTGGGGGAATATGGCCTGGTAAGTAATGAAAATGTGCTTAAAAAATGTTATCCTTGAAATTTCGCAATAATTATTTTTGAAAAATTATATGTTAAGGACTTATATAAACACGATAGCATCCTCGTATTTGGTTGTTCTAACTTTATCAGCTTAAAAAATTACCTATTCGTCCGTGTGAACCCAAAAAATGTTTATTATTATTTTAATTCTAAAGAAATTTCCTCTTTCATTTCATATGTTTGAAATTACAAAATCCTTTAAAATAAATCCTGCCGTCAGAGAGAAAAAATAAAAATGCCATTTTAAATTATAAAGTGGGTTTCAAACCCATTTATTTATTACTTATTTTATGGTGGAAGAGCTTCTCAAACAATATATATAGAGGCAATTTTTTTCGATTTAAGTTGTTGAAAAGTAATGAACATCTTAATACCGGGACTAATCCTGATATCCCGGGATTGTGAGAACGACATCCCGAAAATCTCGGGATCGTAAAAAACGAAAAATTATCCTAGGGATGATACCGTTATGTATAATGTGCATGCTCAATTGAATGTATAAAAAAATACATACGGTGGTCAAAAAATTATAGCCGAGCCAGTTTTTGCCAAGTTTCAACGTATTATTTTTGTTGTTATTTTTAATTTTGGTTATTTTTTTTTTTATAAAAAGACAGTGGTCGTCCAGTATAACGAATGCCTATATAACGATTGCTCCAAATAACGAATGCCTTTTTTAAATGTATTGATTACTCTAAATAACGGACGGTTGAAAAAAGGAGTATTCTATGTAACGAACGCTTGTTTACTTTGTGCGCTTGAATGACATGATCTTTGCGCACGTCGAATTACCATTAGTTCAAAAGAATAACTTCTTACAAGTAACGTTTGTTATTTATTAGGTGCAAAAATTAAAACAAAAAAAAAACATTAAGGGAAATTCGAATATGGGGTTCATATGTAATATATAGACTGATTTTATTGAATTCTCATAATAAAATTTTAGTTCGATATAATGTTAATAATGTTAGTCCCGGGATCCCGGACTTTTTAAGGCCTCGAAAATCTCAAGATTATTGGCAAATAATCGCGGGATTTTCGGGATTTGTAATTTGCACTGATGGCAAAAATAGAAACTCCTCTTCTTGACCATTATTGGCTATATTTCGTTTTTTATTTAAAAACTAGCAAATGCCCGCTTACTTCGCGGCGCCTAATAAGAACTTTTGCGTTTGCAAAAGAGCGTTTAAAAGAAACAAGTAATTTTTAGCAAAAAAAAACCGACTTAAACTCTCATATAACAAAAAATATACATATATATATATATATCTCATGATCCACTGATCGGATCTGAACCAGATTAGTATGGGACCACCTCTGAGACACTACCTTTCCGATGCAAAATTATCGCAATCGGTTGACGTGGTCGAAAGTTATGCGGTAACATACATAAAAAAAAAAAAAAAAAAATATTCGGACGAACTGATAACCTCCTCCTTTTTTGGAAGTCGGTTAAAAATAGTCTGTAAAGCCAAAATTTTTGGTTTAAGTTGAAACCACTAAAGCGCAGTATCCTCCTCACACATAGGCCAATAATAGTAACGCTGTGATACCATATGGAACACCAATCCCTTTCGGTGTCATGAACTTTACCGATGGTCTTATTTCCACCTGTGACATCTCTGCCAAGCATGCGTAACCTTTTTCTGTGTGTTCGATTAGGCGAACATGGAGCGGCCATAAGGAAACGGATAAGCAGTACAGCATTATCACAGCACATTTTAACAAGTGGACACACAGCTGATTTCGCGAATACAAATATTATTGACAAAGAAAGAAGAGAACAGATTCGATACACAATAGAGAGCCTTAGAATTATGCAAAAACGAGAAATGACAATTAATAAGAAGGAAGATACAGACAACATTGCGGCCGCATACATAACTTGTTTACAAAAATGAAATTTTCAGTACTGACAAAACTACCACATCAAGTGGTATGGATATATTTTCTTTTTTAGTGATTAAGTATATCTCAACAATGTGAGTTGGTTTGTCATTAAATTCAATTTGTTGTTATATATGTATACATTTTTGTTTTTTCGGTTAATACTTAATGTGTGTGTTTTTTGTATTTTTGTATATTTGTTGTAACAGATAAAATAAACACTACCCCTGAGGATGCTAAAAAAGTTTTAGCGAAACGTCGAGTGAAAAGTGGAATAAAGTAGTTTTATTCGCACCGGAACTGAAAAGATCGGACTAGCCTACAAACATAAAATAAAATAAATTTGAACTGATCGGACAAAAAAGATAGAAAACGGCTATTATTTTATATATATAAGATAGATTAATTTCTACGAGAATTTTATAAAGTATTTAGCCGCCAGGTGGCCGCGTCACTTTATAATAGAAGCAATCACCTGATTGGCTTGTGCTTAAAACTCGTTACCTATAGGATGGCATTGCCATACGTACATTATAATACAGTGGTCGAAAAAATTACAGCCACCCCACATATTGAGAAGTTTTCACAATTTTTTCTTTATTTAATTTTAGTTATTTTTTTTATAAAAATATAGTCCATTCTTTAACAAAAACAATATAAATCAAAGGTTCCACCATTGGGCAATATTAAAATTAAACAAACTGGTAGAAAATACGAGCAAGTACCTTTTAGAATTTAACTGTTTATCTGTTTTTAAAGGACAGATAAATTTTTAGAACTACTTGAGAAAACGGCCCTTAGAAACATTTTTTGTAGGAACTCTGATTAAAAAGAAATTACAAAAAAAATGTATGTAACCATTTTTTCTTGTTTTTTTTTTCTGGATTTCGCGGAAATATTTTGGGACTATTAGAGTTCTACAGCTCTTTATTTCTTGTAAATTGGTGGTATCAGAACTGTTTTTACTGAATAAAGGCTTGCGCGTGAAGTTAGCAAGCAATTTTGGGTTCTTAGCTTTTTTGGGTTAAATTAACAAAACTATTGAAAATTTGGTTCGGCTGAGCTTCTCCTCAGATTTGTGGCGTGCGCCTTGATGTTGTCACACAAAGCGGAGGGACCTACAGTTTTACGCCGACTCCGAACGGCGATTGCATTTTTATGAGAAGCTGTTTTTCATGGCAGAAATACACTCGGAAGTTTGCCATTGCCTGCCGAGGGATGACCGCTGTTAAGAAAAACCTTTTTTCTATATTTTTTGCGATGTTACTTTGACCAGGGTTTGAACCCAGGCGTTGCGTATTGGAAGCGCGCACTGCTTACCACTACACCACAGCGGCCGAGAAGCTCGGCCAAACACTAACATATGTGCAAGCGCCAATCTATTATTATTATTACTGCAAATTTGGTTAGGGAACTGTAGAACTATTGCCTTGCTGTCAGGAACTCTGATTAAAAAGTAATTAAAAAATATAAATAAAAAAATTGAGTGTAAAATTTTCGCGGAATTTTTTTCGGGACTGTTAGGGAACTGCAGAACTATTTATTTCTGGTAAGTTGATGGTATCAGAACTGTTTTTGCTGAAAAAAGGCTTCCTGCGTGAAGGTAGCAAGCGATTTTTGTTTTTTAGCTTTTTGGCTTTAATTAACAGAACTATTGAAAGTTTGATTATGGAACTGTAGAACTATTGCCTTGCTGTCAGGAACTCTGATTAGAAAGTAACTTTAACAAAAAAACGCTTGCTAACTTTACATGAGCAAATATTGCATTATTTTAATGCAAAAAGATGGCGAACGTTAAAAATAGTGTAAAGGCAGTAAATAAAATGTGAAAACATGACTTGGCTTTCGTAGAACAGACTCTTCTGCTATTTTTGTATGTTCAAATGATGAGTATATGTGTTTAAAACATTGCCCAATTAGCTTGGTTTTGACACAAATTATTTTCTTAACATACTCAACCCCCTCCCCTTTAAAATGATCTACATAATAAAATAAGTATGGTCACATGTACATAAATGGTCTCTTCTGGAAATTCCTAAATTAAAAAAAGAAAAATATTTACTACATTTCTCGCAGACATGTATACTTTGAGGAGAGATTTCCAAACGAGGTAGTCGTCATAAAACACTTCATTTTCACTTGAGGTTTCAGTATTCCCAAATTCTCCACCGATATTATTTATATTCAGAATGCAAATGCTGCTTTGTGACACATTTACTAAAAATCGTTGGTAACTTCCTGAAAAGAAAACGAATGTTTTTGAAAGCTCTATTCACTTTCGAGTAAAAAATTTCGAAATTGGCTACGCTACAGGAGATTAAATGTAATCCAAATTGAGGCTGGTATTTTTTATTTTTTTGCTATCACATACTTCCATTTTCAGTATTTATCACCATTAAAATTGACTATTTATCACCAAAAAATTGTGGCTAAGCTATTTTTAGCGAAAGAGAGGACAGCGCACCGCAATTTTTGAGATAGCGAAAAATTCGGAAAAATTTTAGCTTTCGTAGTTTAGCATTTTAGCGATAGAAATCCGGCTGCTGGTCGAAAGAGTTGGCTTTTTGATTTCATCAACAAGGAACGCAGATCTAAATATTCTAGCATCTTTTCCAAATTGCTTTCCATAATTTTCAACTTTCTTTGATAAATAATTGCAAAAAGTCGGATTCATGGAACTTTCGCAAATATCAGCAGTACCATTCCAATCAGCCAAACTTTAAATAACTCGCCTTTTGTAATAGCATGATAGCCCAGAAAAAAACCGCTTTACTTGAAAACGGCGGGCTAAAGTTAACAAAATTATAAAAGCTTACATAAAATCATAAATGGGAATAAATTAGAAAATTTTTGAGGTTATGCAAATAAGTAAATTTTTATCAACTTGCAACGTTGTGTG